AGAAGGCTATACATTAATTTCCTTCGTGATGATGAATCACCATCAGTCCAGTTTTCAGTTCATGGACCAGCAGGTCAAGAAAACCAAGATTCCACAGCTTTCCCTTAAATTCCACAAGCTAAATTCAACCTCCATATATGTTCATTGCTTTCAATCACACAAAACTGTGGTTAATGAACCTCGAGGTCAAGAAAACTAAAATTCCACAACTTTCCCTTAAATTCCAAACGCTACATTAAATGCGAAGTCGGTAGAAACTAAGCAAGAAATGGATTTATGATGAAAGAGTTTTTTTTTTAGGAAAATAAATATTTTTTATTTTCATTTTTTCTATTCTTTTCTAATTGAAGAGAATATTTTTGTTAGTTTTTTTTTCTTATTTAGAATTATTAAATTTCTCTATTTTTTTCTATATAAAAGATTGCATGTTTGGAAGTGGAAAGATAAATGACTAAAAATTAAATATTTTAGTTGATCCTAGTATTTATGGTGTTTTTTGCCATTAAAGATAATTTTGATTTATAACGAATTTTTTATCTCATGTTTTAATTAGAATCTAATAATTTTTTATGATTATTTTTCATTGTTGAACAACTGTAGCTAGAAGGGATTACATAATAAGATTTGCTTGTGTAAGAGAAGATAAGAAGATTCTCTCTTCTTAAAAAAACATCTGAGAATTAATGTGTAGTTTTTATTTATATTAATTTTTTTCTTTTGAAATCTTAGTAGTAAGATGCATGATGAACCGATGGACAATGTTGTGTTAGAGAACAATGATGTGATAATTTCATATAAAAGTGTTGTATATATTATAAACATATTATAAATCTATAATGGGATCATCTGCACATAAAAAAAAATATTCTTGATGAGTAAAAAATTTAAAAAAGAAGTTGAACTTGATGAGAAGTTTGTTTTAACGTCAGAAGACTACAAGTTTATTTTTAGAAAAATAAATATTTTTTTAATTTATTTTTTTATATTAAGGTTTTTTAATTTTTTTAAATAAAAGATTATAATAAATTTTTAACAAGGAAAGATAAAAGATGAATAAAAATGAAATATTTCAGTTGACTCTGTAAATTTCAAAGAATGGCATCAGCATAACTATTCAACGATGTTCATCGCTATCAATCACATAAAACCGCGGTTCAGTTGCTAGCTCTTTGTACTACCATTGTTTTCCCCTCAATTCCTAAAAATTTGGCAATGACTATCCAGAAAATACTTCCTTTTCTTCTACTGCAGTTCCTGTACTTCCATGAATTGCATGCTCAGATACCTCCCAACATAAGCTTGGGTTCTGGCATCACGGCTGGATCTGGTAATTCTTGGCGATCACTTTCTGATGAATTTGCGTTCGGGTTCTACTCTCTGCCCAACAATCTTTACCTTGTTGGAATTTGGTTTAACAAGATCCCTGAAAGAACACTAGTCTGGTCAGCTAATCGTGACTCTCCGGCAGTTGCCGGATCCACAGTCAGACTCACGTTTGACGGCCAGCTTACGCTCACACATCTCAATGGTAGTATTCAATCAATATACAGCGGAAGAAGAGCAGGTTTAGGTTTCATGCAAAATGATGGCAACTTTGTGTTGAGAGATGACAGTTCAATTGTCATCTGGCAGAGTTTTAATTCACCAACAGACACAATCTTACCAGGTCAAGTTCTTAGTGATAACCAAAAGCTCTATTCCAATGCGAATGGAACTGTTGATTACTCCACTGGGAATTTCATGTTGCAGATGCAATTTGATGGAAACCTTGTGCTCTCTGCCTATCACTTCTCTGATCCTGGTTATTGGTACACTGGAACTGTACAAAACAATGTTAGTTTGGTGTTCAGTAATCGTACGTTTTTCATGTACCTTGTCAACAGTACTGGTGATAATATCTACCCTTTAACAAGAAATGTCTCAACCCCCGTTGGAGACTACTATCACCGAGCAGCAATAAATGATCATGGTGATTTCCAACAATTCGCTTACCATAAATCAAATAGCAGTGGATGGACAAGAGTGTGGAGGGCGATCGACGAGCCTTGCGTGGTGAATGCTATATGTGGTGTCTATGGTATGTGTTTTTCTCCGAATAATGAGACAGCAACATGTAAGTGCATACCAGGTTACATTCCATTGGACCCTAATCACGTGTCCAAAGGGTGTCGCCCAGAGACCGTGGTGAACTATTGTGCCGACCATTCAATGAGAAATTTTACAATTAAGGTGATTGATGATGCAGACTTCCCATTTGAGAGCTTCGCAGACTTGGCTCGAGTGAAGAATGTCGATCTGGAGGGTTGCAAAAAAGCTCTTATGGAAGATTGTTACAGCTTGTCTGCTTCCTTGGTGGATTCTAGATGTATCAAGAAAAGGATGCCTTTACTAAATGCGAGAAAGAGTTTTTCTACTAAAGGACGCCAAGCGCTGGTGAAGGTGCCGATGAAAAGCAATCCTGGCATTGAAGAACATAAAAAGAATAATGATTTTGACACTCGGGTTTTTCTAAAGATTAGCCTTATAGTTACAGCCACGCTTGCTTTCTGTTTTGGAGTTTCTTCCCTCTATTACCATCCTGCTCCTCGAAGATTTATCAAAAGGAAAAGCTATTCAAATGCTAATTCCATTGGCATAAACTTCCAGGAGTTCAAGTACCTGGAACTACAGAAGGCAACAAATGGATTTAGCAAGACCCTAGGTAGAGGATCTTCTGCTAAAGTTTACAGTGGGATTCTAAGCATGAAGGACATACAGATTGATATTGCCGTAAAAGTGCTGAAGAAATCGATTGAAAAAGGTGAGAAGGAATTCATGACAGAGCTCAAAATAATAGGCCGGACATACCACAAGAATTTGGTAAGACTGTTGGGCTTTTGTGTTGAGAACAATCAACAGTTTCTGGTCTATGAGTTAATGGCGAATGGCTCGCTTGCCAATCTTCTATTCGGGAAGGGATCAGAAAGACTTAACTGGGTTCGGAGGGCAGAGATGGTGCTTGAAATAGCTAGAGGATTGCTCTACTTGCATGAGGAATGCGAGACACAGATTATCCATTGTGACATCAAGCCTGAGAATGTACTGATTGATAACAATTACACTGCTAAGCTTGCAGATTTTGGCCTTTCCAAGCTTCTGAATAAAGATCAAACTAGAACAGACACGGATTTAAGAGGCACAGTGGGGTATCTGGCACCAGAATGGATAAGGAATGAGCGAGTGACATCCAAAGTAGATGTTTACAGCTTTGGTGTGATGTTACTTGAGATTCTATGTTGCAGAAGGCATATAGAACCGAGCCGGGTTGAGGAAGAGAGTGAAGAGGATGATCTTGTTCTCTCGGACTGGGTTATAAGTTGCATGGCCGCCGGGAAGCTAGAGACGGTGGTAGGACATGACCCTGAAGTATTAAGTGATTTCAAGAGATTCGAGAGAATGGCCTTAGTGGGTTTATGGTGCATTCATCCTTATGCAATGTCCAGACCTTCTATGAAAAAGGTAACACAGATGTTAGAGGGGACCTCGGAAATCGGAATCCCGCCTTCACTTTCCGATCAAATGTCAGTGAGTAATTAAACTTGCTAGTAGTTGTTAAGAGAGTAATGTTGTCTTAAAAATGTACGATATGGCTCCATCTCATGATTAATAAGCTAGTTTTGAGCACGATTTCTTACAATAGAAATGCAAATGTAACGGGAGAATGTATTCTAATAATTTCCAAATTTATCACTAATACAGTCTGAAAGGCATCTATGTCTTCTTCTACACTCGGTGAATGAAATCATGAAGCAATTTATCATTAGTAAAAAAAAATTCTTTGATCAACGTGGCATGAGACATATCAGTGAATTATCAGATTAAAAAAAAGAATAAATTAGATAAAAAATATCTAACTAATTTTATAATAATTGAAAATCTTCATAAGTCTTTAGAGATTCTATAAAAAAAACTAATTATATAATACAAAATAACAATTATTTTATATATTATATCTAAGATAAGTTATTTCGTATATTATTTACATGTTGCCCAAACTAATAGATGCAGATTTGTAATTAAAGGAAAAATACTATTAAGATCTAAAGCACTAATTTTGGACACAGAGCTTGGAAACAAAACACAATCCTCATTTTTAAAATATAACCATGGTTTTGAAGGACTAGTGAGCAATTTATAAACTTGTTCAAGTTTATATTAATTAATTAAAATGGGTTGAAGGCCACCAACAATCAGTGAGCTTATAATGTAGTATATTAAGTAATTTTATTATCTTTTAATTAACATTCTATAATAATATCCAATGAAAATTCATTTATTTTATGTGAGTCACTGAATAGTAAAACCATTAATGTACAAAAATATTGCAAGACAAATATTTTAAATAATTTCATTAATCACCAACATAAGCTAATAGCGGTTCATTTATCTTAGATGAGTTTATAAATAATAAAACTATTAATACATAACAATATATATATTAACACACAACATAACAAATCAACATCAATATAAACATACATAAAATTTACATTGAGAACAAACATTTATGCCTCAGGTTTTGATTCTAAACTTATTACACCTTGAAAAAATAAATTTTTTAATGGCCTTGTACCCCATGGTTGCCACATAATAATTTGAATTTCAACACTTCAAACATTTCATCACAATATACATATAAATCAATAATATGTTAAAAATTGTTCAAATTGTTAAAAATATGTTATGTAACTCCATGCAAATGTCAACTCAATCCATTAGTTGAATTGAAAGTCATGCGTGATAGCGTAAAATTACTTGATTTGTAATTTTTTATTAAAAATCTGAATTTTCTTATTATATCCTTACATGTATCATGTCAACCGTTCCTCTAAATTTTTGGGATTGTCATAACCCAATTCTGGGTTATTCCCTAAAAAAATCATTGTTTTTTAAATAAACATAAACAAAATAAAGGCTAATGATATGGAGAAAGCAGATCAAGGAGGATTACAAAAATAGAGAAAATCAAGTTGCAATTTTTGAAGAAAATTTAAGGCTTAATTGTACCATATTATGCCAAAGAATAAAAAAAATACAAATTCAAGGTTAAATTAAATGATTATTGGATGAATTTGCATAAAAAATTAAGTCTAAGGACATAATTAAATTTCTGATAGGCCAATTTAATTTAATCATGGGCCAAATTGAGTTTTACTTATGTTTAAGAATTAATTTGGGTCCAATTGAAGGATTTAATTAAGTGTAAGGACTTAATTATACTTTAAATTGGTCAAAGTAATTTTATTTGGGGCTTAATTAGTGAAAAATTAAGTTTGGGATCCTAATTTGAGCTTAATTGAAAATATTGAAATTTTAAGAGATCAAATTTAATTTTTACCAATTTAATTGTTTGAAATTAGGGGCCAAGTTGCAAGAAAATTGAAGTTTTGGGGTCAATTAGGGGTTAAATTGACAAAACTCACAACCAAGGACCATTCTACAACAGGCAGCAAATTATAAGGGCTCAATTGATAAAAACCAGGGGTAAAATTGAAGAAATTAAAAATTTAATGTTCAATTAAGGGTTAAATTGCATAAATCCGAGACCAATGATCATATTGCAAAAAACACGTAAATACGAGGCTGAAGTTGAAGTTTGGCAAGGGTTTAATTACATTAAATTGAAAGTTTAAGATCAATTAAGGGTTCAATTGAAAATAATTGAAAGATAGAAGACTGCTTTAAACTTAAAAAAAATCCCTCATTTAAACTTAAAACAACGTCGTTTTACATATTTAAAAAAAAAAAGACTCGTCTAGTCACTATTCATTATCTTCTTTATTTTTTTTAAAACAAACTGGTTCAGTCACCTCTTTTGCAGGTGTATTTAATGTATCTAATGCCTATTAAATTTGCTAAACCTTGTACGAAACTAATTATCAGACATCCCTCTACGTCTGGGTATAGTCGTCGCTGGCTCACTGGCAAATAAATAGATGTGGCACCACTCCAAAAAGGGCACCATACCTAGTTTGAGCCAATAATTTGGATTCATCCCAATAGAATCAAGGGCTAAAAATTGTTCCCCTGTAAAGACAAGATTACTCTCTTCCACCCCTATAAATAGGAGCAAATTTAAAGTTCGAGGGAGGAAAAAATCGAATGTGAAGTTGGCCGAAAACCAGCATTCCTTGCTAAATTTTCATGCAATCGGCCATTTTTCTACTTTCTCTCTCCACCGTGACTTTCAACCACCACCACTATCATCACCTGTCTTCTAGCCATCATCTCCACCTCAAGTGGCCACCAAACCATCTCGCATGGTGTTTGCACCATTTCTCTCTCTCTCTCTCTCTCTCTCTCTCTCCTCTATAAAAATCTTTTTCTTTGCCACCGTGACCCCGATGGCCACGACAGCAACAGAAGCAGCAACCACCACCTTGTTGTGAAGCTCCTTTCCTTTCTAAAGGCAGCCAGGGTAGCAGCTCTCTCCTTCGCCACTCCTACAGCTCCAACTGCGAGCTTTTCTTCTCTTTCACAAGCCTCTACTTCTTCTCCTTCTTCTTCTTGCAGCGATCGGAGCCAACCATCGACCTCTCCACCTCCATCGCACCATGCACTACCAATCCAGTAGCCAGCTCCCTCAACACCAGGTAAGCTTCCCTCTTATCTTGTTATTCATCCTCTCTGTTGTCATTGCATGAGAACAGTGCAATGTGAATTGTAATTCATATTGCACTAGCTTATGCAACTTAGTCACTAGGCTGCCAATGACTAAGTTGCTTCGGGCTGAACTTGTTCTAGCCTAACCTAGTTGGTTGGGTCGGGTCTAGCTCGTCCCTTAAATTTAAATAAGAAATATGTTAGGTCGAGTTCGGCCTAACCATTTTGAGCCTACTCCAGCCCACCTGTGTTCTGGGCCTATGCTTGACCCAACCCACATGATTAAATAATATATATATATATAACAAAAAATTTTCAAAAAATCCTTTCAAAAATTGTGAGTTCCAAAAAAAAATTTCTACTAATTTTTCATAATATCAAATTGTATATTTACATTGTAAAATACAAATTTAGTGTTAAAATACCAGGTTTTCTAAAAACAAATTCTAAATAAATGAATAAAAAAAGTTCTAAACATTTTAAAAAAAAATTCAACTTTTTTAGGATCTATATATAGACTTTAATATATGTGGGGTATAAAATTACATGGTAAAGTATACCTTCAGGTATTAAAAATATAAGGTAAATAAACGCGACGCTAAAATTCAAACTTTAGAACGGGTTAGAGAGATCTGCCTTGAATCTTAGAAAAGACCAACGAAATAGAAACCTGATTTAGAAAAAAAATAAAAAAACAATGCAACTTATCTTAGGTGGGGTGCACTGGGGGTGATGCATCTTTTCCTTGCACAACTAGTACCTTACTCAGACTCTCGCAAACTATAAGTTCCTAGTAACCATAATACTAAGTGATGACTCCTAAATATTAATCATAATTTTATAATTAAATCCAAAAAATATTCCCAACACGCACCCTTTATAGAGAAGGCACGACAAAAAGCCTCTATCATCGCCAAACAACGTTGCACCAGCGTTTGCGCACCCCATGACAGGGATCATTTTTCTTATTCTTAAAATATTTTTATTTGTCTTTTCATTATTTATTTTGTTTACAAATTTACTAACATTTAATGACAGAGTTACCAACTTTTAACTAAAGCTTACATCATCACTCTTGTCTCTCATTTTATACCATTCTTTCTTATCATTAATTCCTTCCTACCATATAAATTTATTAGGATTTTTTTCTTATTTTTTTAATCCATCCAAACTTGTTATTGGTTTATTTATCATTATGAATTTTAATTTTACAAAATTAATAATCCTTATTTTTAAACTTGAAAGCACTTTTCTATTTATTTATGGAGCTCATTTCATCCCTTATACATCACATTTATTTATTTATTTATTATTGTTGTTGTTGTTGTTGTTGTTGTTATTTATCCATTCTTTTTTCATTTAGGTTTTTCATTACAAATCAAAATCTTGCTATTTTCAGTCATACATTTCCGTGGGGATTTACAATGAATATCCCATTATTTACAATAATGCCACTATAATGCAGTCTAGGTATTTTTCATTGAAGAAGATATCGTATCGCGGTTTGCTTTTGAAAGTTATTATACACGAAAGTTTAAATTTATAAAACTAATATTTTTTTCTATTTATTAAAAATTAAAAATTTTACTTTCAAATTAACCCATTTCATCACCAGGTAAATTTTTACAGTGTTAAATTTTTCAATATTTTACTAACACTGTAAAAATTTAATCGGGTCATTATGACCTAAAAACTTCATATCTTTTTCTTTTAATATCAAAAGTAAATACTTAGTAATTAAAAATCTCATCTCAACCTCACTTCTATTTTTATTTTATTTTCCCATTATTCAATTAACACGATATATTTTTCGTCAGGTTTTACAAGTATTATAAATTTATTTTTCTATTAGATTATCACATTCTCATTTAATTTTTTTTCATTATCAAATAAAATCTTATCCTTTAATAATTTTTTTAAATTAATTTTTTATTTTAATTCTATCCATAAATATTTGATTGATTGAGAATCATTATTTATAATTTTTGTTGTTTCATTTTTATTGAGTTATCTCAATCTTATATTTATGATTACGGGGTTAGTGAGTTAACTCAGTTTGATTCAAAAAAAATTTATTGTTTTTTAATTATTTTTTTCAAATTTCACCATTTGAATTGTTTAAT